TGAACTCTTGTTTTAATTGTGAAACTTAGAAGGACAATATTTTTTCAAAATTCTTTTTGATGTTTTCAAAATTTTGAAAATAAAATAAGAAGAAAAATATTTTCAAACAAGACAATCTCTCTGGAAGCATATCTTGGAATTCAACAAATATCTCAGAAGCTCATGACTGAAGCTGGGGCAAAGGAAGTCAATTTTGGGGCAAACTTTGAGGACAATGAAAACAAATTGTCTCAGGTCGTAGTTTGCAAGAGTACACCCTGATGGAAAATGAAGACAACTGAATCAGGGATAGAATGAAGACTGCTCACGCAACTATTCCCCTCACAGATCAAGAAAACATATATCAACATACATACATGTTACATGAAATTGGCATCTTTGCATTATACATTTATCACCATGTACAATAAAGACTTTGATTTTCCCCTCTCATGAGGACAAATTAAAAAATCATCAAATCAAACACATAAAATAAACTTCATCTGGCATCCATCATAATATCCAAGATGGCTATTCATAAATGCATCATTTTGATCTTTCAGGAAATCAAAGTTTGGTGATGATCAAATGTCCTCAACATGAACGAACAATTTTGACATCCTGAAGTCAACGATAAGATCTTCTAGAGGAATTTCCTTAGCATGCAGGAGTGGGCAGTCTATAAGCCTTTGAGATCGTCTCCCTTAAAACAAATTTCGTCTCGCTTGAGACATTTTTCCTTTGAAATGTAAATTTTGAAATTGTTTCACTTGAAACAAAATTAATCTCATTTGAGATTGTTTTCTCTAAAAACAAATTTTGTCTCGCTTTAGACATTTTCTCTTAAAAATAAATTTCGTCTCACTTGAGACAGTCTTCCTTAAGACAAAACATTTGAGATTGTTTTTCTTAAAAAATATTCGTCTCACTTGAGACAGTTCCCCTCAGAACACAAATTTCAAAGTTGTTTTACTTGAAACAAAGTTAATCTTACTTGAGATTGTTTCTTTCAAATCAAATTCGTCTCGCTGGAGATAGTTTTTTCCTCAAAACACAATATTTGGAAATTATTTCTCTTGAAACATAAAACCTTTGAGATTGTTTCTCTTGAAACAAATTTTGTCTCTCTTTAGACAGTCTCACTTGAAACAAAATTGATCTCGCTTGAGATTATTTTCCCTAAAAACAAATTTTTTCTCGCTTGAGACAGTTTCTCTTAAAACAAAGTTTTGTATCTCTTGAGACATTTTTTCTTGAAACAAAAACCTTTGAGATTGTTTCTGTTGAAACAAGTTTTATCTCTCTTGAGACAGTTTCTCTTGAAACATAAACATTGAGATTGTTTCCCTTCAAACATATTTTGTCTCTCTTGAGATTGTTTCCCTTGAAATATATTTTGTATCTCTTGAGATAGAGTCTCTTGAAACATGTTTTGTCTCTCTTGAGAGAACTTCCCTTGAAAAATTATCCCTAAAGATGGTCAGCCATCCTCATCACGTAAGAACCGTGTCATCCATCGACCAGATCTCCTCATCACGTAGGAGTCACGTCACCCTTAGATAACCAACCATCCTCATCACGTAGGAACCATGTTATCTACATTATCAATAAAGATGACCAACCGTCCTTATCACGTAGGAACTGTGTCATCCACCGACCATATATCCTCATCACGTAAGAGTCGCGTCACCCTTAGATAACCAGCCATCCTCATCACGTAAGAATCGTGTTATCTATATTTATCCCTAAAGATGGCCAATCGTCCTCATCACGTAGGAACTGTGTCATCCACCGACCAGATCTCCTCATCACGTAGGAGCAGTGTCACCCTTAGATAAACAGACTTCCTCATCACGTAGGAATTATGTTATCTCCTAATTTACCTAAAAACAACCATAACTCTTTATCGAGGATGAGCATCGTCGTCCTTAATTATCAAATTTCAAAGCCAAAAAAGAGAACCGAACAAAAACTTGTTGTCTTATCGTCTTTGCCCTATTCTTGTTAACACAAGAATGTACAAAGAGGGACAATTATAGACACCCGTCTTTGTATAGGTCTTATTATTATTATTATTACTTATTATTATTATTAATTATTACTTACATTATTTTGTAGGCCCAACAAGTGACCTAGTTCAAGCCCAAATTCAAATCCAGACCCGGTCCAAGCCCAATAAGAGAACCTGACCCGATTAGGGTTTTTTTCTCTGGTTCAGCCATACGCCGTAGCCCACCCTCCGTTGGATCTGGACCCAAATCAACGGTCTAGATCAGTGGCCATTTAGTGTTTTCTGAAACCTTAACCCTAGATAGATACTGCCACCGCCACTGTGGTTGTTACTGTTGTCACCGACTGCCTCTGACGCCGTCGCTTCACCTACAGTGACAATATATCTACATCAACAGTGAGGATGTCAGAAAAAAGAAATATGAAGATATCAAGAGAATAGCAAGTCCCAAGAAAATATGGGGGACTGTCAATCTACTGAATCAATCACCAAACATCCATATCTCACCCCTAAATAGGCATGCAATCAGATTCAATACAGAGACCAGTTTTAAAATAGAAAGAAAACGAGAGAAAAAGGGGGAGAGGTTTTCCTATGAAAAAAGGAAAAATATAGAAAAGGCCCAAAAAAATCAAATTCAAAATAAAAAAGATCTAAAAAACAATCAAAGAAAAAGAAAAAAATAGCAAAAGGGTTGAGGTTCTTACCTCGGTTCGAAAAGCTGGAAGTCCGAAGGTCGCCGGTGTTCAAAGTGTCCGAAATGTATAACCTAGATCTAGGTTTATAGCGGTGGTTTTAGGCTAAAAGGGTTTAATAATTGGGTTGATAGTGAGGAGATGAGCGTTTTGGGAGTTTTTTTAACTCCCTCCGGCCGACGTGGACCACCGTGGAACGGAGTCGGTAAACGACAACCTCATTTCCCCTGACGAGGAGAAGTTAAGAGAGTTCTGAGACTCTCTCTCTCTCTCTCTCTGTTTTCTGAAGCGAACCAAATGAGAAGAGTGAAAAAGGAAAGCCTGGTTTCAGGCTTATATATCACCCACGAAACGGCGTAGTTTCGTTGGGGACTAGTTGATATTTTAGCGCATGGGCTAATCACGTAGGGAGGGTCCATTATTTGTAACATTTGCATTTTGGTCACCAAATAAAATCATTAAAGTTCTTATTTTGAGCTTTCATTTTTTGTTGTTACATTTTAGTCCTAGTTGCTTGATTTTTTTTTACTTTTCGATGTTTATACATTTGTTTCATGATTTTAATATTTTATGTTTCAGACCTTAATATTATTTATGGATTATTGTTGTTTCAGTACCTGTATTGTATAATATTTTCTATCTTGGTTCTGGTTTGTTTTTTAATTATTGTTCGATCCTTCAAGTTCCTGTTATTCACATTCTGGTCCTTGGAATTACCAAATACTTTCATTTCGTCCATTGTATTTTGGTTTGTAATATTCATTTGTTTTTATTCAGTCCCTTATGGATGTACATTTTACATATTATGTAGTCATTTGTATTATATTAAATAAATATTATTGGCTTTATTTATTGTAAATATTTTATTTCACATATTTCCATTCACATTTGTTTCTATCTATAAATATTATTCGGATATTTTCAAGAACTGTACTTGCAGAACAGGCGTGGAAAGTATCACTTGATCGAAGTGGTACAATCCGATACGACGTTTGGACGAAATGGGGAATTTGAAATGAATCTAGTTTATTTTACTAATTAAATATTTTTTAATGATTCAATGCGTTTTTTTATGTAGCAATTTATTTTGTTGTTTGTAAATGTCTATTTTCCATTTATATTCGAGTTTCATTTTTTGATAACATTGGTGAGGGGGAATATTTATAGTATAAAGGAGAAATAGACGAGATAATATTCTCATTGGAGGATGTGCAAATCTCGTGATTTCTTCTCGAATTAAGCAATGTTCCCTAACAAATAATTTGAAGTAAATTAATCAATATTCAATGCATGGATCATAATTTAACTTTATATTCGATTCATAATTTCCATCATTACGACAACGTATAAGCGACTAAGTACCAATTTTTGGGCGTTGTGGGGGTGTTTATCCTTCCGCACGCGTAATCGACTCCCAGACCCGTTAAATCGAATTTTTGGTAAACACAAACCAATTTTTGTCTTAAAAATATTTTTCCTTAAAATTGTTTTAAAAGACGTTTTCAGGTATTCGACATACCTAACCCAAAAGTCGATGGAGACTCCCTTTCAATTTAATACAAATTAATTCAAAACCGTCAATTTTTTAAAATAAAGTCATAATTGTTTTTAAACTTAATTGTGTTTTCAAAAAAATTGTTATGACAGTTCTATTATGAGGATTTGGTGGGGATGTCCCTTATAAGTAATATGGTTCTACAAGTTGGTGATGGAAAATCAATTTCATTTTTAGAATGATATATGGTTAGGTGATATGCCACTAGCTCGTAAGTTTCCTCGAATTTTTGCCCTTTCTGTGAATAAATGGGGCAGGATAGCTAATTTTGGTGAAAAAGGTTAGGGATGGTTGGGTTTGGAACATCACTCTTCATTTTATGTTATTTGATTGGAAAATGGATCAATGAAATAACTTCTCGCCCCTTTTATTTGGGTTTAGAGCATCCAATATCAGAGTGGATTGTTTCACTTCATATTGTCTAGTGGTATATTATTATGAATAAGAACACATTTATTTCTAACTCATTTTCGGATAATAAATATTGAAGATAGGTTTTAATGTTTGTCAACATCTTATCAATTTTGTAATGATAATCATCAATAATTTTATATCATTTTGAATGAATTAAACAAAATATCGTTAATAAAAGAAAATATGTAGAAATATGTAAATTGGTATTTTGGCAAATATATATAGAAATAAAATTACATTGACTTGAATAAAGATATATAGCCTCAATGAAAGAGCAGCTTTTTCATGGAGGGGTAAAACTAGTTAACTTGATAAATTTAGAAGCACATAGCTTAACTAGATCACTTTTCAATCTGAGATTTGGTTTATCAGAAGAACTCGTTGATAACCTTCTGAAGGACGGGCGTAACCAAGGCTCTGTAGGCCTTCTCTGTTGGATGATAACTGTCCCAAAAGATATACTTGTCCACATCTGTACACGTGGATGGACTGAGTTGATTACACAATATTGACACCTCTATGTTCGCGGTTCCACAGCACCCTTTGTTTGCAACTTCAAAGCCTTAAAAGATAGCAACAAAATGAATTAACAGCGTCTGTAAAGTAGAGAAATCAATCAGTTGGTTTTGTTAAATATGATTAAGTAGTAAATACCATATTTTTTAGGGTTTTGAATGATATCAAGCAGAGGGTTGTAGACATCTATGTACACATATCGGCCATCAGGCATGCTTGTCCGAAAGGAATTCAACACAGAAATTAGCTTCTTGTTGAAGAGTTTAGCTGCTACGTTGTAATCTTCAGCACATTCCCTTTCGATTCCTCCGCCTAAAGTTCTTTGAGATGGAACGCACCCGATTGGTGGTGTCCTGATTACCACAATTCTCCTTGCTCCCAAACCATATAGTTCCTTTAAATTTCCAATCAAACTCAGTGTTGCAGAAAGAAATTTAAAATCTAAATTAGAGCATAGTATAGGGACCAAAATCATACATAATTTCACCCTACCTTGACAAACCCAGCCGCGGAGTTAACCATTAAGTCAGTGTAAGCAGGAATATCGTACTGCAATTTCCTTGCCCGGAGAACAAAATATGTATTGGCAATGTCGTCGCTGCCGGCTACGACAAGGATCATACTCTTTGCTAAGATGAAGTTTGTTTGGTCTTCTCCGACAACAGCTTTCAACTTGGCTATGTATTCTTTAAAGTAGTTTAACTGCTCCCCCATCGATATAACTGACTGATAATTTTGGACAAAAATGAAACTCAGCTAAAACATTTACAAAATAAAAACAAATAAAGAAGAAATTATGTACCGCTAATTTGGAAGTGAGGGGATCATATCCAGTGCCACCAGATGCAAAGGTAACTCCAGTTATGAGATCTTGGGTTTTCAATGTTGGATCCAGATATGCTGGCACCATATCTTTAATTCCCAATTCTTCAGCTGAAATAACATTTTAGAATCCAGCACGTTTAAAAAAAATTCTTACATTTGAATGACAAAGAATAGCATGAAAGGGATTACTACCTATTATATCGGAAGGGATTTTGCCATTGCAAAACCTTCCTGTTGGAACACCCCCATCAAAATCTTTTCCGTATGGGACGAAGTTGCACTTAATAATTGTCCGGATATCGTTGTTGTTACCTGCGTCAACAATCGAATCCCCAAACACAATTACAGCAGGTATGGTTTCGTTTTCTGGCATCTTTATTAACGCTTTTGCAGTGATGAAGAGAGAAAAAACCAAGACATGAGGCAGCAAACACGCTGAGGAACGAGGAAACATGATCGTTTTTAGGAAATTGTTTATGAAAGAAACAAATGGGAAGAATCCAAGGGGATTGTTTGTATTCCCACTCATGTTTTGTGCTTATTTATATACATGCAAATCACATAATGTCATTAAATCCTCATACATGCCAAAAGAAAGATGGTAGCTAGCTAGTTATTTACTAGTTGCTGAAAATTCTTGGAAACTCTTTTTCGTTATAAATTTTCACTACTGTTTTATCATCTTTTAATACTAACTATTATTATGGATATAAATCTTTTGTTTATGAAACATCAACGCTATACAGAGAAAAATGATACGTGTTGAATTTAAGGGGCCTACTGCCTAGCCTATGACCACATCATCTAAAGCCTAAGGGACAAACTAAGGTCACCATCCACAACTAATAATTAACTACCTTTCATCCCCATTATAGTTAATAATATAAAATATTTAAAATATGTATTGAAAAGTTTATTTATCTCACGAGCCGTTCAAATTAGATATTCGACTTGATCAATAATTCGAGTTACTCAAACTTAAATTTTACTCGATTATTACCTTATCAAATTTAATTTTTTGAGTTCAAACTTAAATAGCTTACTAAAATTATATCACAGTTACACCCATGTTATAAGATACAAAACGTAAAAAATAATGAAATTTAAAATGCCTTTTCTTTTGTTTCTTTTCCTTTTAGTACCTCTAAATGTTTGTTCCCTTCATGCTTAAACAAAAACGGGATCTTCTTAATTCTTATACAATTGAAGAAAATAAATGTAGCTAACAGATGCCAACTAATATATATTTTTATTTTTAACTTCTAAAATCTCTATGGAGTTATCTACTAATTTATTGTTAAAATAATTTGATGATGTTTTCTGCTTAAGGTTTCATTATAGAATCAACGACAGGCTTAAGGTATGCATAGATCATGACATGTCCTACATCAATCTTTATATTGCAATTAGTTACAACATAAATTTTGACTATATTAAAATGAGTGACTCACGATGTCAAGATAATAATGATATCAAATATTAAGATCATACATGTAGCTATTAGTATGAGCAATGTTATGACTATTAACTAAATGATCCAAGAGATGGTCAGTTCCATATGTTTTTTAGTATATACTTATGTATTGATTTTGACATCATCATGACAATAACAATGTCTAGTCATCAATCAATTACACATTAATTTTTAGGGTAAATTATACGTTTAGTACTTAAACTTTTAGTTTTGGTCTGTTTTAGTACCTAAACTTTAAAAAAAATCAAAATCATACCTAATATTTTGTTTTGGTTTCATTTTAGTATCCCGTTAAAAACTTAACGTTAAGTTTTTTTTAAACAAATTGAAAGTTTAGGTTTTAAAACAGACTAAAACTAATAGTTTAGGTACTAAACACGTTAAGTTTTTAACTGCAGGGTACTAAAATGAAGCAAAAATTAAACGTTAGATATGATTTTGATTTTTTTTTTTTAAGTTTAGGTACTAAAATGGACCAAAATTGATAATTTAGGTACTAAAATGGACCAAAATTAATAGTTTAAGTACTAAACTTATAGTTTACCCTAGTTTTAATGCATTACTGTTGCTCAAGCCCACACTAATAATTGACTAAATACCTTTTAAGAATAATACGATTATTCTTATGATTTTATTAAAATGTAAGTAATTTATATTCAAAAAAGTAAGTGAAATAAAAATGACAGTATCTTATATTAATAAATAAGATAAAATATACCAATGAATGTTAGTACAAGTGGTATGACCTGAATTGGAGGAGCCACTCTTGACCTAAACTTTTTTGTACCTAAATAAATAAAATATATCATTATAATTATTTTATGATTAGTCTTTAGAGAAAAAACTATTATAATCGATCAAAGAATCAAACACAATATTACTTTCATTTCAATCATTAAATCGAATGGTAGACAAATACAAATTCCTACACGTCCACTTTGACGGCATATAATTCATACATGCAGGCATTTCATTGCTTTTCGGGTTGTGTTTGTAAACTAACATCTAGTGTATTATGGTAAATATATATTTGTACTTGTATACTGGATCATAATGATATATTGCGTGAGTTGTAAATTATATCAAGTATGCACTTATGCTTCCAACATATGTCACATACCAATTATGAATTTAGAAAAGATGCAGCTTCCTTCCAATTTTAGGATACTAGGCTTGTCCGATTTATCATAGTGAGATTACTACTCATCTAACCTGTGAAGAACAAGTATAACTCCTTTGGTGTAAATGTAATTTCATGTCACAATAGGAGGAGATGAGCGTGGAAATGAAGAAGGAATTGGGGAAAGAAGAGGTCAAGGGTTAGGGATTGAAGATGGAGAATTAGGGATTGAGGCATGAGAGGGGATTAAAAAAGGGATTAGGGATTGATGTAGGGACCCTCTGAATGGAGCAACCCGTGTACCCGATTCAGGAAGAATTGGATCTGCCCGAGTCTACAGTCCAGGAAGTGTTGGAACAACCCAAGTTCGGTGGCCCAGTAACCTGAAAAGAAAGAGATAAGATTAGTCTTTTATAGCTGTTAGAGAGTACTGCCAGCTGGCACACTTTGCAATTTATGTTTTTAGCCCTGTAACTAAATAATACTGGTTGAAAGACATTTGATTCCTCAAGTTATGAATAAAGCATTTTCTCTTATCTGAATTCTCTATTTCTCTATTTCTCTTTTCTCGAATCCTTTCTATTCTCTCAAACTATAAAAATTGGTAATCAGAGCCTCGAATTCTGGAAAGTATGTGGGCATGACAAAGAAGAATCAAAATATGGCTGAAGTGGATTTATCTGGTCTGTAAAAATAGATGGAGGAATTAATAACTTTGGTGAAACAAGGTCAAGATGAGACTAATCCACCTAAATGGTGGGAGACTCAAGAAAATAGAATTATTGCACTAGAGTTTAGAATGGCCATGAATTAAGGATATGTTGAGGAACTCTTGAAGATTTTGACTGGTAGAAAGGAAGACCAAAACTAGTCTACTGATGACCAGGTACAAACCCCTAATTCATCTAATATGAGTGGTAAACAACCTGTTAAGGTGACAGTGATTAATGATAAGACTCGGTTTACTTATAAATCTGACGAACCCAAAATTCTTAAGTCTAAACAATATGATTTGCATGTTCATCTGACTAGCTTTAAAAATGACAACCAAATGGGTGAGAACTGTGTTGTTAGAAATAACTTAATGGCCTTAGAGGTGGATAAAAGAGGTACAAGAGGGTCTTATAATATGTCAGGAGCAATGTGACATAGACCAAAAATTGAGCTGCCAATTTTTGAAGGCATTAATCCAAGAGGGTGGCTACAAAAATGTCTTACATACTTTTCTCTTTGCAGTATTGCTGATGAGCAAAGAGTGGAGGTGGCTACAATGTATTTAGCACGTAAGGCTGAAATCTGGTTTGATGGTTACTTTATGCAAAAAACATCATGTGACATGGCATGATTTTGAGGCAGCCTATGTCATAGGTTCAGTGACATATCTTTTGCTGATATAGTGGAGGAGTTTACAAAGTTAGTATAAAAGGGGTCTGTGAAAGAATATCAGGACAAATTTGAGGAATTACAGCCACATATGCTATTACAAAACCCTACACTAGGGGAAGAATTCTTTGTTTCTCTGTTTATTAGTGGGCTAAGGGATGTTATTAAACACAGAGTTAAGGCTTTGGAACCTAAGTCACTTTCTAAGGCATGTAGGCAAGCTAAATTATATGCGTTGTCTGTGGAGTTTGAAAATAAAAGATTGAGATCAGCCTTCAGAAACCCACCCTACCCAAACCCTCTATCTACTCAAAAGCCAAGTAAGCTACCAGTACAATAAAAACATTCAGCCAGTATGCCACCAAAATAGAACTTAATATATTACAGAAGAAAAAACAATTTATGTTTTAAGTGTGGAGAAAAATTTGCTCCAGGTCATCCGTGTAAAATGAAGCAACTGAATATGATGACTGAGGATGACACTGTTTTACCTTTAGAAATTTTACCAATAGATTCAGAGCAGCCGATTATGCAAGAATATGAGAGCCTAGAAATATCTATGAATACTATTACTGGATGCATTGGTCATAATACATTGAGGATTCAGGGAATAATTCAGGGTAGACCATTAAACATATTGATTGACAGTGGTAGTACCCATAGTTTTTTAACACCTCAATGGGTTGATGCTGGTATATAGGTAATCACTCCTCATCCTTTGGCTATTACAATAGCTAATGGACAACAACTTTACACTTCAGCAAGGTGTAATGTGGTGGAATGGAAGATGCAAGGGCACTCTTTTATACATGATTTTAGACTTCTTCAGTTGGGGGGAAGTTATATGGTATTAGGTGTGGATTGGATGAAACTGTTTAGTCCAATCTTGATGGACTTCAATAACATGACACTGAGTTTTGTGTATAAAGGGGAGCAAATTATTATACATAGTCAACAACAATCAATTTTTTTACAGCAGATTTCAGGAGCTACCCTATTAAAAATGACAGCTTTTAATTCATCTATTTTGGGACATGTAGTACTATTCATTATGTCTGAGGGATCAAAGATTATTCCTACAGCTATCCAACCTCTCTTGGACCAATATCACTCTATTTTTGATGAGCCTACAGGTCTGCCACCTACAATGAACCATGACCATGTTATTCCTCTTAAACCTGAAGCTACTCCTATTAATTTAAAACCCTACAAATTTCCCCATAATCAGAAAGCATAAGTGGAAAAGCAGATTGCTAATATGCTCTCCTCCTCTATTATTCAACCAAGCAAAAGGCCATTTGCTTCTCCATGTCTTTTAATAAAAAATAAGGATGGTACTTGGAGGTTTTGTAGATTACTGGAAGCTAAACAGTATGACAATGAAAGATAAATTTCCTATTCCTATTTGGAGGATCTATTGGATGAATTACATGGAACAATCTATTTTTTAAAAATTGATTTAAGGTCTGGTTATTGGGAAATTAGAATTAAGCCTGAGGATATATACAAGATAGCATTCAG